TTTTTGTATTTGTAAATACTATAACGGGGGAGAAGAGGGGAAAAACAATCATAACAAGAGAAGGACAGCCTAAAAATTGATCTACATTTGCTTACAACATGACTTTTATCAATACATACACATAACTCTGCTCATGTAACACCTAGTAATACTTAAAATTGTAGGAGAAAATTTACAGTTATAACTGAATTTGAGACTGCTTTTTCTATCTCATACCTACATTTCATCCATTGCAACGAACATGGAAGCTAAGTATACATTCACAGAGGTGAAAAGTCTACAACTAGAAGATGTGAAATTACAGATACACTCGCCCTTTAAGAAAAATTTCAGTGTCAGATTTAATTCATCACAACCTCACTATATTTTTGATGATCTCTTCACTCTCCTTGTAGAATGTGTAGTACAATAAAAAGTGTTTTCTGGACAAGAACCAGGTGTTGCCCATAAGAGATGCAGACCACAACTTTACAAGGTTGTCCCTGAATTCACCTGCTTTTCTTCATCACAGCATGAACGCTATCCAGTAAAGGATGAGGTTCCAAAGGTAAGCAGATAGTTTCAGGGCAGTGGCTATGTGGGTTTGTTGGTCTGGTCCATAAGTCAGTGGAATGACCAACCCAGCCTTACTTCACTGTTGAGTAGGTTTGAGGTTGAGCATTCTGGTTAGATGCTACCCACGAACTGAACACATCTCTGAAAGATATAAGGTTAACAATTAAATCATTGCTATATTAAAACAGACAAAACATTCAAATGGGCAAGTGAAGTACTTACCGACAATGGCTTACAACACATTCATTGCTGCAGTATTCATCCTCCCATTCATTGTTAGGAACTGCAACATTAGGACACCCATGTCGAATGCATGTTGTCATATTTTGCTGATCTTGAGGAGCTGCAGGGTCACATGGCTGCTGGTGGTGTTGAGGGGGTTGCTGCTGTGGCGTTTGTGAGGAAGGCTGCTGTGATTGAGGTTGCTGTTGCTGCTGGGGTGGTGAGTGCTGTTGAGGAGATGGTTGGGGACTTAGATGTTGAGGAGGGTGCTGTAGCTGCTGCAGCTGAGGCTGTACATGCTGCGACGGGTGAGAAGACATGGGCGCTAAAGGTTGCAGTTGAAGTGTTTGCTGAGGTGGTTGCTGCATATATCCTACAGGACTCAACTGACCCATATGACCCATGTGACCAGGACCCATTGGTGAGCCAATCATACTCTGTAAAACATAAAACATGTTGGAATAAAATAACCTTCTACAATGATAGATAGATAGATACCAATTTAGATTATAATCTAAGATTGAAATGTTAATGCTTACCGTCTGGGGAGGAGGTTGCCTAGGTGAAAGCTGTTGAGGAGAACCATTAGTTGGCTTATTCATTCCAACCATTTGGTGGTGTTGAGGAGATGCCATGGGTGGAGATGACATTTGAGTAGCAGGTGGAGAATAACCTGGGTATCCACCAGAACTAGGAGGCTGAGGACCACCATACCCTTGTGGTGGGTGTGATGAATATCCCCCACTATATACATTATTACTTTCTTGATCATTCGACCCCTGCAACAATAATGTACATAAGAAATTCAAAATACAGTATCATCAATTTAAGAAAAACAGTAAAACTATTGGGACATGTATTAGAAACTTCAGGTGGTATAAAACATATAATACACATGTCATTTAAATAGTATGTTCTATATTTTACCTTGGACAAAAGACTAGCACGATACGCAGCCAATGCTTTTAGATAGTCTTTTTTTGCTGCCTCCGTCCTTTTTTTATAAACCTATGTAAGACACAGATCATTAATAAATATATTCTATATGGTACATACGACACAGGCAACCAATTAAAGAAAACAAAGAAAAATGAAATCACAGCAAAACTCACATCTTTATTGTTGGAATCAAGTGCATCCCACATTGATGCAACTATTTTGGATACTTCTCCAAAACTAGCATTAGGATTAGAACCTTTAATAGCTGCTTGGGTGTCCCTGAAGAAAAGGGCATACGCTGAAACAGGCCTGAAACAAAGATAGACAGACTAAATTAATAATGGAAATTAATATTGGTGAAGATAAACTATAAATGACAATTTGTGACAAATAACAATTTCCCTGAAGATAAAAATGTAATTTAAATTACAACAGGCAAGATAACTAAAAAGTTGCTGAAATGATCAAATTTATAAAAATACATAAAATCGGATGTAAATAGGTTGGAGGTACGCCAGAAGCATTTTATATTGCTAGAACATGTCTTTAGCTTAGGGCCAAGTTAGCCCCAGATGACTGTATTAAAATGAAGTTAAAGAACGCTATTGAATCTACATTTCAACTAAGACACTTACTTTTGAGGTTCATTAGGGTCTCTTTTCTTCTTCTTTTTTTGAACTTTAGGTTTCTTTTGAAGTTTTGATTGATCTACAGGCTCAGGTGATGGTCGTTTGATGCCACCCATCTAAAAAAAGGAGGGAGAAAGTACTTTTAAAACATTGCAGCACAAAATACTTTGACAGAAAATATTAGATCAATTAAGTTTGAACACAACATGTGTTAAGAGCAGTAAGAAAAAACAAAAAAAAAATCCTACTCACCATTGCAGCACTATCATCACTATCTTCACTAGTTGTTGTGTTGGGAGGGCTATGTCCAGGTGCTGGGGCAGGACGACCATACTGAGGCACTCCAGGCATACCAGACATGGGTCCTTGTGATATTTGACCAGGACCCACTGCATGACCATGAGTCATCAGCATTTGATGATGGTGCTGTTGCTGCTGCTGCAGCATTAGCATCTGCCCATCTTGACCAGGAATGTATGGTGTTTGAGGACTTCCATAATTAGAACTACTGCAAGAACAAAAATTATCAATACTCTGCCACCCGGTGATATTAAGTTGTTACATTTGCAATTTAAAATACCTACCCTACACCTAAGCCCATTTGATGGTCGTTGGGACCAGAAAGGTATAAAGGCTGCTGATATGATGAATGCTCCTGTAAGAGCCCATCACTCATCTAAAGGAAAAAAGAAGCCATAAATAATTATGTCGAAAGATAAAAAGTAACAGGTCCAACAAATGTTAGCACTGACATAAGACGGATTTCAATTAGCTAGAGAAAGCAAATGGTCAAAATAAACACAAATTAAAAATAAATAAATATGAGCACAATTGTTACCTGGTGTTGGTAGGACATTGCGGGTAGTCCAGATTGATGTGGACTGTGTGCTCCTGGTGGGCCACTATGTTGCCCAAGGGACTGGCTGTGTGGCTGCCCAAGCTGTTGACTATGAGGTTGGCCGTGATGTCCTCCGTGAGGGTTTATGGGTGGGATATCAAACTCCTCGTCACCAAAACTCGGCGTGTGAAACGTCTGCAACAAGGAAAAAAAAGGGTGTTTGTTATTAAAATTGCTCAGATGAAAGATATCAACTACATCTAACTTTTTGACCAAATGGCCATAAACTGTGCGAAAACCAAACAAATCGCCAATATGGATTAGTAATTGGTCCACATAACCTAGAAATTGAATTGATAAGTTTGACGAGGAAGGACGTGTTCATCAACAAACTGATAAGAGAACGAGGCGATGCGAACGTTTAAAGGTAAAAGAAGACATGGCCCAGAAATTGATTACACAATCAAATAAACCGGCATTGCATAGGTTGGGAACTTACATCTATAGAACTATTTCTTATACTCTACAAACACTGAATAAGGTGTGTCCAAACACGAACCCAAACACACAGCGATTATGTCACTCTCCAAGTACTGATAAAACGATGTCGGATCTGGATTTAGCCTTCACTCAATTAAAAGAATAACGCGCTAAACCACAACCAGCCATGTTTTGAAACAGTCACTGCCTTACAGAGCACGGCGCAACCATCCGGCCGTCGCCAGCACCGTCGACATTCTTTTGTTTACGGCGGGGCGGGAACGGCGGGAAGCGGGAACACCCGCCTTGCCTGCTTTTGCAAGCTTTTGCCACGCCCGATTTAACTTGAGACCCGGGGTAAAAAACTTTTTGACCATATCGAAGCAATGTGCCATCATCAAAAAATGAAATTAACCCTTTTATCATGGAATGTTGTCACCTAAGGGGTTTGATACTTGTTGCGCTGATAGTACATTAATAATGATTCGATAAAATAGAGAAATAGAGACAGTCTTGGTGACTGTATAAAAACAATTCACGTTAACAGATAGACGATCACTAGCTGGACAGCTCCATGCTACGGTTATTTTATAATAACAAGTAAATTTAACTGACTGAAGGTCGAAAACCAGTCGCTCCAGGTAACAGCTGGCAGATGCTGAGCCTGTATCGGCGGCAGCCGGGCGGACGAACAAGGTCCCGTCCCCGTCCAAACCGTCTAAGCTCCCGAGGCACGCGCCGATCCCTCGACTCGAGTCATAGGAGGACACGCCCTGCAGGACCATCGAGGGAAACCCCTGAGAGCAGACTGTGCTTCGGCCGCCATTCTCGCAGTTTTCAAAACGTCGTCGCCCTGATCCGCTCGACCTCTGATGACCCGACGGGGAACGTCCGGGGCCTCCTGGTCTCCCCCAAGCTGCTTAGGCTAGTCCCCGCCGCCGCCCGCACACATAGGATCGAGTTCTGTGGCGACTTAAAAGAAACCGCTCAGTGGGAGGAAAGCAGTGAAGGTGCAGACCGCCGACTACAGAAAGGCCAGAAAGGCATAATTCTGCTAGCATTCCTATCCTGAGCGGGAGGGACATAAAGCGCCCACTGTAAAGATAAGGGCTCATTTTTGAAACAGGGTTCGTTTGGCCTGGCAGACGGATAGACACGCAGGGGCACAATGACCCTTCTCAATTCTCTTTCTCCCCCCCCCCTTGGCCTCCCTTCCTCCCGCCCCTTACCAACCTCTCCCCTTTACTCCTCGTTCCTCGCCGTCCCCTTCTCTCCCTCGTTCTCTATGTTTATCCATCCATCTAAATTCCCATTCATCGGCCACTTGGCTGACAGCCGCAATGCATTACTGCTGCCCCCTCCCCTCGCGGGTGAGTGATGTCCTTACATTCAAGATGATATCGAAAACACATCCCCGGGAAAATGGAACGGATAAAATTGGATGACGGAATAAGGAGAGGGGAGTGGGAGGAGAAAAGGGGGTTTCAGAGAATGAGGTGGAGTCAGGAGGAGTGATTGCCGGGACAATCGAAGAGATCGGAGAGAGGGACTCGCGTTATATTTTTTAAACCTGTCTCACCTCCCAATGGGCTCTCGCGTAATCATTTCCATTCCCACGTGAGCAAAAAAATAAAAAACAACAACAACAAAACAACGGGAAAGTGAGAGCTCTATTGCCAAATGCAGCTGCAATAATCAAAGTCGCACTGTAAACCCAACTGAGTAAATAGTACGTACTTCCTTGTGTGTGCTTTCAAGCACACACAAGGAAGTGTGTGCATGCCACGGCACACCCTAGGAAGTGTGTGTGTGTGTGCCATGCATGTACACACTGCCTAGTGTGTGCTATGCCAGGCATACACTTCTTTGTGTGGCCTTTCAAGTGCACACAAGGAAGAGTGTTCTATGCACACAGTTGGGTTTACAGTGCGATACAAACAACGTGATATCAAAGTATAATATCAATTGTGTGTTCACAAAGAAATGGTAAGAGCCAAATCTAGAGCACAACACATGATTACCGCTGACCACAAAACCTAGAATTTTGTAACACCACGCGTGTTTTGAATTTTGCTTTTAACAATCCAGGATATAACGAAAATAAAGCTACAAACGTGGCAATGTAGCGGCCTTAATACGCCATGCATATCGACATTTATTCATACGGAACGCGTTTCTCCTCCTGTTTTCATTCCCAACATTTCATTGAAACCCCGTCCTCCTCCCCCATCATTTCGTTCCCCTTTCCAGGCAGAGGGGGAGGAGAGGGAGCAGGGCGATAGGAGAGTAACGAAGATATAGAGATAGACTGTCCCCTCGGATGCGAAGCATAACAATGCGCATGGCACTGGAATCTACTATAAAACGCCTCATCCCTTCCAATGCCCTGTTAAACCTTTATTAAGAAATTTTTTGGCAGCATTGTGAAGGTTTAGATATCTTCGCAATACGAAGAAATGGTTCGTACGACAAATTTCTTTGTAAAGCTGCGAGCAAAATGCAGCCAATTTCATTCCTTTGGTTGTGCAAACCTTTATTTAATTTTCCAATTTGTAGAGAGGGGATCAGCCGTGTACACGCGCGCCGGCAGGCCGCTCCGCTCAGATCACTAGATTCATCAGCCAGTTTACCGGAATTATAATTTATCATCAAAACGTGGATAAAAATGCAGAAAGTGCGTTCAAAGCAACCGGCTCCCGGGAAACACAATCAACTTCATGGCGGAAGAGAAAGGCAGGCGGGGGAATAACGAAACGGATAACGTTCTCTTTTTCTCACTCCCTCTGAGTTCGTTTCCCTTTCTTTCATTATGCATGCACACCGCGAGAGACCTCCTTTTCAATCTGGCCTCTCGAGAGGAGGGTGGGGGCCAGCCAGTCAGTTATACATCCCGTCCCAACAGCATTTCGTCAACTTATGGGCAGCGCGCGTCCCGCGCGGCCCCCGTACTGTCGCCGAGCATTCCCTCACGTGTCTCACCCCAGCAGCCAAAGTGACATGAGCAGGGCACGCGAGCGATGGCCTTGACATTTGCCCAAATCTCCACAACCAGCTTATCCTCTCATTTTCCTTCCACTTCCTTCTTTTTCGCGCCCCGCTTCCTCTCTTCCGCTCCTTATTTTTCCCTTCCTATCAGGACGATATGACGACACGTGCCAACCGGGGGCCTCTTTTTCCGGATGACGGTTAATTTTTTGAACAACGCCACGACGTCAACAAAACAACAACAAACACCAACAGTGGCCACCCAGCATGTGAAGCATTCCAGAACGCTCAGACGTGTACTTGGACGCCCCATGCTGTATAATGGAAGGAATCAATACTTCCCAATCTCCCCTCGCTGCTCTTTACCCTTCATCTCTCCTCTATTTCACTTCCCCGCTCCCCCCTCAGGCTCCCTTCACCCTTCCCACCATTGCCTCCCACCCCCCTCAAACCATTTCACCAGTTTCATGCATGTTTATACACCCCTTCCCTCCTACTACATCCCTCCCACTCCATAAACTTCATCCCCCTTTTCGTTCCGATTCCACCACATTGCCCAGTATTCTCTCTCTCTTTCTCTTTCTCTCTCTCTTACACACACACTCACAGAATCAGAGCGAAAGAGACGTGTAGACCCCTGATAAGAGGAAGGAAACAAGTTGACTTTATAGAACCCTTTTCGGGTACTTTATTCGGAGCGACTTTTGACAAACGTTTCAGCATGGCGAACTTACACAGCCTTCAGAGACGCTGTCACTTTGCCTCACCTGCCCCCTCCTTTCCTTCCCCCCATTCGCGCAGCCCTGCGCGCTTTTATGGCAATTTATTTATGTATTCCGTCCTTTGAATGGATCCTCTGTCTCTCCCACCGCACGTTTCAACCGTCTTGTTCTCCCCTCCCTCTCTCTTCGTTTGCTTTTATCTCCCACGTTACCCTCCTTATATATTTCCAAACAAAGAATTCCACTCCTTTGCTCAAATTGAAAAACCGAGTCGGAGATCGGCTGCTGTTTCACGCGGTGTACGTGTGTGTGTGTGTTTGAGTGTGTGCGTGTGCGTGTGCGTGTGCGTGCGTGCGCGCGCGCCTGTGCGTGCCTCCGCTCCCTTTTCTCTCCCCTTGCGGCCACATTGTTAATGTGATAGCTGACATGCAAACGAAGTCGAATGGAATATATATTGATACGCACATCGACGCACATGTGAAAAAAACATAAAATATGTTTGGTATAGCAATTTTTGAACCATATATTCACGAATTGCATTTCTGAGAAGACTCAAATCCTATTACCGACTTTACGACTCCTTTGTCATTCCTGCTGCTTAAAAATCTTTATAAAATACTAACAACCCTTTTCACCGCACTTGTGCGAAATGATTTTTACAGTTCTGACAAACGTACACACATCGAATTCTGCTGTGTAGGTATTTAATGAAACTAAATCAGTCCAAAGTCTGAGAATGAAATCATAAAAAATGGAAAATTTTACGAAACAGCACTGATCCCGCAGTGCTCAACAAAATGAAGCAGTTAATTTACTGTGAGTCCGGGCAACTACATTTTAGTAGTATAGCTCTGAATCACGCCAACAAGTTTGCGGGTTTGCCTACTCGCTCAACCGGTAGGGCGAAGGCGCCGTGTCCGGGTAGGCAAATGTTCTATCGCCCTGACACATGGTACAGCAGCAGATGACCCTTAGGGACCGTACATATACCACGTGGACAAAAAGGGG